ATACCACTATCTGAGCGTGGGAACAAATGTTTTACCAGCGATTTCGACGATAATTTTCACTTCACTCACAGACATCCGATGTGGGAATTACAGGCGTCAAGTGACTATGGAGACCAATGACCTCCACTGACCGCATTGTCACGCAAGCAGATAGGCGGGCCGCAGCGTCATGGTCGGAGCTAGACACGCTGCCGCCCGGGATCGCAGTGTGAGTATGATGGGGAATATATTCATGAGAACTGCAGCATCATACTGGGGGTGCCGGGTGGAAGATATAGGTACATTATATATACATATCCCCGGCGGTTGGAAATCTAACAAAGCGTCACGAAATCCCCGCCACAGGTCCGACCGGAAATGACGAGCTTCCGGTCCGCCTCTCGCTGTCACGGGACGACTTTCATCAGAAACCAACGTAGCCGACGGTGCCGAGGTTTGCGCGGAGTATACATAGCTCAGAACTTGGGCCAGCCACCGAGACGGCTGTACACCTAGCGACCGGGCCCCATTCGGCCGGTCTGACCCGCTAGAGTAATAATCACAACATTTGGACCGCCTTGAACCCCCTGACTCCTGACCGACCACCGACAAACACAAGCCGTCAGCTCGACCGAGCGACCCCAACGCTCAAACGAAGGTCTCCGAACCCAGTCCCGACCAATGGCGACCAACCAGCCCTCAGTCGCTAGCTAGTGATCGTCCCCCAGTCCCGGGAACCCGTTCTCAAGCCACGGTCGGCCGGTCCCCAGTCCCTGCCAGCCGGCCTCCAGCGGAGGGCACCGCTCAACTCACCATTATACCGACGAGCACCACGAAACAGACGGCGATCACCACGGCGAACGGGATCAGGTAGTCGGCAAAGTCGAACGGGTAACTGTTGGTAATGCGAAGGTGATACCTGAAACCCACGGCGGCAGCGTATCAGTTGGAGTCGGTCAGAGAAAGCCGAAGGAATGGGGAAGTGAGGCACTGTACACTGAAAATGCCGTACGGGGAGCTTGGCCTCCTACACCGCTCAGACAATGCGGGAATAATGCAACGGAATACCAATAAAATCTTGTGGAAGGGGGAGCCGAGACGGGCCATCAACCGGGGAACACTAGATTAAAGGGAGGGCGTCCCGAAAAAAAAATAGCACTCACACGTGTCAGTAGTCCCGTACAATAATGGCCATTAAATTCACAAAAGTCGGTCGCATGATAGTGATGGCAGCAAACACAAACACCCATCACGTAACAGGCCAGTGCTGCGGAGTCGGAGTCGCTCGGAGTAGGCAGTTCTACCCGAAGTCGGAGTCACCGAAAATCCATCGACTCCGCACTCCGCAGTTCTGTAACTAGCGTCTAGCAACATCCTATGCGTCATAGCGCACGCTTGATTGAAAGTGCGCCGCTTGCCCATCCCGTAACACAAAGGCATTCCCCACAACGCTGCACCGGCAGCAGTGCCCCTCCCCCCCCCCCCCCCCCCCGTTACGGTGTGTGAGTCATCGAGCGTGTACGACGTACGACCGCCGGCGAAGGGAGATCAGCGACCTATCGTCACGTGCGGCCATCGCATGCAACGACGGCCGATATTAGAGATAGACAGACCGGAGAAGGGAGTGGGCCCTGGGGAGTCGGGGCGGGGGAGTCCCTAAACCATGTCGTCTGCCGGCCTCTTGCTGTCCCAGATATCCGCTCTGTGTGTTATTGCTAGGCGGACAGCCCTTTTCCAGATCATCAGAGGTTGGGAAAAGGGGAGGGGATGGCAGTCGGCAACAGACCGTATTAAAACGAGCGGGCCCACAGACAGACCGAAAGGCAGACCGACAACAAAAAAACTTAACTACAATAGACGGGCAACAGGTGGTCCCCGCTCTACAGACCACTTATAAAATGCTTGTCTGTGCCGGTGCCCTAGCCCTGCCCACCCCTCTATCGCCACCAACAATCCCCGCTCGATCCCAGCCTTCTCTTATACAAGGTCGTCAGCATGCGGGCGACAGGCAGCCACCAGTCGGGAAGTGCCAGCGTAGCCGCACCCGGGACCTAGTCTGGTATCCGCACCCTGTGCAGCCGCGGTCACAACTCACCGTGACGCGTTGGTGTACCGAGTCAATCGAAGTCCATCCGTCATACCGACGAAAAACGACGGAATGCGTACCTCTTGTGCACCATTGCCGTGCATCGGTGCTGTAGGGGACACACTGTCGTTAGCTGCGCAGCCACCACAGATGGGCAGAAACACGGCGGGGAGGGGGACGAGGGGAGGTTAGGTAAGGTGACTACATCCACAGGTGACACCGCCCGGAGTATCGTCACGGCAAACAAAGGCCGACGTCTGCACGCCGCCATCGAGTGTAAATATGACCAGACTAAACACCGCAACACGCGACGCTGCATCGCCGTCGCGGCGATGAATGTAGACGAATTACAAGGTCACCGACATAGCGTAGCGTAAACGTGCGAGAATATGCCAGCGGCTATACACAAAACATGACTGTATGTAAACCATGCCACTATATCAGCTCCAGACAGTGTCGTCTTATCATGACTGAGCGAAGTCAGAGTATGACCAGACGGTGAGGCGGATACTCACTAATAGCATAATGGCATTAACTCACTAACTCACTAAAGGTGCACACTGCACAGACCACTCACTGATGGCATTCGAGCCGACATTATAGACGATAGCCGCGCCGAAGCCGGCGTTCTGCGCGTTCAGCACTTTGCTCTGGAACTGACAATCGCCACGCTCGATCAGCAGCACCCAGATCCGGTCTGTGGTCGGCGCGGTGACGTTCAGGCGAGCGCCGCAGGCGTTGGGCGGGTCACTGATCACCAGCGGACCCTGTCGGTAGGGGAGGGAGGTGATGCTGCAGACTGCAGAATTGTGACCACTGACCATCACCCTTAACTTTGCTGCAAAACATGCCAATTTTGACAAGTTCTCATTTTGTGATCGCTTAAACTGCATATCTTTCACCATAAGGTGCGGATAATTGCCCAGTTCGAGATTTTCTCGCAGAGATTTACCGCGGAGATTTGATGCTACGAGGATATTGTATGCGGCCTGATGTAAGCCTTAAGTAGTACCATGCTGAGTTGTGGAGCCAGTGACGCTGGTGGTCAGAAAATGATTCATCAGACATCATAGCATGGCTGGCCAGTGAGCAATCAGTCTTTGCTCACTCCTACCTTATTTGCTATTCAAAAGGTGGACATCCAAAGTATCTAGTGTGAACTGTGGATTGTAGGCCTTTTTTGGCATCAGCTGGTGATAATTTCCAGCCTGTTTGGCTCAGACCAGTGTGAATTGGTCCCCCGACTTGCCAAGCTCTGTTGCTATACCTTGTAGTCTGGCCACTTACAAAACTAAGCTGAAAACATGTTATAAAAGTTTCAGCTGTTTATGCAATTCAGCTAGTTAGAATCATTATGGTTATGATGGCTGAAACATTGTTACTGTGATGATTAGGTACTGAGCTTATATACCATAAAGTGACTTTCCAGCATCACTCACCTCTAGTCCATTTACATTGACCACGGGGCCAAAGGCGGATGGTGCATCATCCATTGACAGCACTGTGGCATTGCGGTCATCATCGATGACGTAGATGTCAGCAGCAGCAGGCAGTGTTGCCCTGAGCCATATGAGTGCTGTGATGGCCACCAGCAGGAGTGACTGGTGACAGCCACAGGACGACATGGCCGAGGGACAGCCCTCGGCAGATAGCAGTGGTCCGCTGGTAATGGAACAGCACCTGTCAACAAGATTGGGAGTTATCAAAGAGAAAACAGTCAACAAAATGGTAGGTACTTAAGTAACCAGAGGGGTGTTCACAGGTACCGCGGCGCAGACTGCTGAGTGCGGTGTGTGCAGCAGGCGTGGGGGTAGGGGATGGGTAGACGGTTCTGACGTCACAGCTGCGTGCGGTGGACGGTCCTGAGGCTGGTCTCGACTGACCACAGTGGTCGCTGTGTTGGGATAGAAGGATGATGTAGGGACACAGTCACACAGTAGGCGGAGCTTACAGCCTGTGTACAGTCTAACCACACACAAGGCCTGTGAAGAGCCCTCCGGACATCAGAAATACATGTTGCTAGTTGGAATTTAAGGCTGATACACTGGCAAATTGGAATTGTGAGCCCATAACATAAACACATTCCAGCACTGATATTACAACAAGTCTTCAGAGATTTTTAATTTTCCACTTATGTTCACTCCCATCAAACTTTGAGCTGAAACTGTCAACTTATTTGCTGGTACGCTATTGCTGTGACAATTCAGATTCAAATAGACTGCTAAATAAATTACGCTTTTCGAGCCACAATCGCATACCGAAAGTATACGAGTACTGACCTTCACAGTGTTATAATTTAGAATGACAGGTTAAACCACATCAAAATTCGAATCCCACAAAATGTAAAATTCGCAGGCCTCTCCGCGCACACCTCCACAATAATTGAGCAGCGAATGGCGCATTAACTTCACGCAAACCAAGGTTGAGCTAAATAAAGGAGCAAACGTCTAATTCACAGATAAAAGGTTGAAAACACTTAAAAATATGAAAAGGATCTATCAATCTCTTGACTTTAAAAATTATGTATTATGACTTAAAATGTTGAATATATAGCGAATGAATGCATTTTGAGATGTTGTTTTTCTTTAAAAGCCGGTAAGATCAAGCATGTTCACTGAGTGTAAAACACCACATTCACCAAAACAGAAAAGAAAACTAATAAAATAAACATTTAGAAATAGTATTCAAATATACTGATACTAGTTATTATTCAAAAATTGACGAAAATATAAAAAAAGTTTTATTTTGGCGAATTCGAGTCAATTTTAGATGTTGTCGGCCTTTCTGGCTTTTTGCAGTGTAATAGCAGCTTGAATTGAAAGCTTGTGATCTTGCGCCGTAAATAAACAGTTTAGGAATTTGTGAGTTTGTGGAGTGTGGATGGGATTCCTTGCTTTGAAATGTAGATGGTAATGTGGTTTATAAAAGTACTTGCATTAGTACATATGAGAAAATCAAGAGAAAGCAGCGCGCACTCCTTTCCATTTGGTCACCTCTGGAGCATTTCTTTGTTTGTGATTGCAGTTTCACCTTTGACTCTCAAGTCTTCATCTTTTGGGGTCTTGGAAGTTGTAAACTTCTCATTATTGATATGGGCTTTGACTATGAGAAGAATGAGATGAAAGTATTTGCAATTACCACTCAAAATGTTCCAGAGCTCTTCATGCACATCATTGGAAAGTTCAAACGTGTTGCATTGTGTGTGTGTATCTGATTACGCCTTTCAAAAATGTGATCTGGGGTTATGCAAAAGGCTGAAGCATATCCAAATCCATTATCCAACCCTTTCAGTTTTCTTATCTCATGAATACCTCTTATGATTAAAAATACTGGCACATAAACTAAAATGTCTTATTTTAAGTTTCAGTTAGGTAGGCTGAGAAAATCTTGTTGAAATAGGCATGTACTTAATTCAAAGTTTAAGATAATTGTAGCCAGCAGGGGTCATTTCAATTTCATTTAACTTCACAGTATTTCATCACAACAATGATGCTTTCCCTGTGTGATCAAGTATGATTGTATTATTGTTTCTTTTCACAGTATATTTTATGTTCAAAGTGTCACTGTTTAAATTGCATGAACATCAGCTCAATTCAGCTGCCCATAGGTACATTGTTGATGATGTTGGTTCTACTTTGTTCCAGGACCCAGAGCTGCTTAATGCTATCTGAATGTCAGTTTATGCTTCAAATTGCAAGACCACTGCACTTGGACCAGATGAGAGGCATAGAATGGAGAAGGAAATCAAGAAGTTAAAGGTATGTACCTACTAGTCAACAATGCTGGAATCAGAGTATATAGGTAGTTAGTAGGTAGATACTAGAGATATCATTTGAATGAATTGAAATTGCTAAAAACTTAAACAATGTTTGTGATGTTGTTTCATTGATAAAGTTTGCATTTTACAATGTTTCCTTATTATTTATATGATGTATTGAGTTGGAATGAAGCACAATCCTGATAATCATGTATAGTCACCTTCATGGGTATTTATTATGTAATTCAGGGCATTTGGGAATATGTATGGGATGTTACCCTGCTGATGACATGATGTGCCGCTTTTCCTCAGGAGATGCTCTCCATTCATTTGGATTTAATCCAGCATCAGGCTGACCAAGCTGCCACTAGGGAAACTCAGTTCAAGGCGCTTCGGCGAGAGAATGAACTGGTGAGTGCCAACCTCATTGTAGGCATGTCATTGTAGGTGTGAGGGATGCTTACCAGACTTCCCTCTAAATTTTAGTAAATCATGCTTTGTGACTGCTTGGAGCAGTGTTGCCTGTGGAGGCTTTGATACTGTGTTGATTGCCATGAGTGTCTGACTGGGTCTGTCTGGTCTGGTCGTGCAGTTGCTGCAGAAGATGGAGCGGATGGAGCGGCGGCTGTCTGTGCCCGCCCGCTCTCCGGGCGCCGTGCCGCCGCCGCCGCCGCCGGCTCCGCCCGCGCCCGCCCCCGCCCCCGCGCCCGTCCCCGCGCCCGCGCCCGCGCCAGTCACCCGTGTCGACTCGGCCACCTCTCCCCGGTCTCCGGTGGCACGCACCAGCCAGCAGACGCAGACCAGCGGCGACGAGCGGGCGCCCACGCCGCCGGCGCCGGCGCCGCGCCGACCCATGCGCAGCCGCGCGCGGCGCTCCTCGGCGGCCACCGAGCCGGAGCCGGGTCCGGCGGAGCGGCACCCGGCTCCGGCTCCGGCTCCGGCGCAGGCTCCGGCTGACCGGCCCGCCGAGATCTCCACATCGACCGAGAGTCGCCGGCTGCAGCGCAAACTCTACCGCAAAGGTGCCGCTGCAGAACGTGCAGAGCACTCACTTCATGGCCGTAATATCACTCCGGAATTTTCCACCCGGACAATATAGCACGATCTTGATCTCATCATTCATATTCAATCAATCTCTTAGCTTATCGCAATCACTATCAATGGCCACGGTCATGAGCGTGGTTCAAATCCCGTTTCTGAACGATTGTGCCGTGAAATAAATACAACGTAATTAGTTATCTCCGTACCGTAATTCATGCCATCGGCCCCTTGCTCGCAAGTCGAACCGTCTGTGACCGTACCGTTGCACGTCCCCTCCTGCCCTGTACCATCCCTGACGGTCCCTGTATCCGGCAGGAGACGAGCCGGCCCGCCACAGGAAGTGTATGTTGACAGACGCCGAGTACTATCAGTACATACCAGCCGAGGCGGAAGAATCGGACACGGAAGAGGGCGCCGGGCGACAAACGTACATTGAGGTCAGTCAGACCACTGGCACAGAGAGGAAAGTCGGACGATGGTGGTTCAGTTACGTCAGACCGGTGCTGACTGCTGATCTATTGCCCCGGCCGTGGTCTCGTTTTACGATTGTCCTTGTCCGCCTGACTTTGGATCTAGCTCTGGCCTTGCTCCATCTTTTTACGTTCGTGGTTCGCACTTCGCCTTAAACTGATTCATCACGACCCTGCCTGATGCTGGTTTTCACTGGTCCTCGGGTCTGCCTGACACAGCAGCTGACGCCGATTTCGATTTAGTTATACTGTAACCGGTTTCTCTGTTTCCTTATGCCTAAGTGTCCTGCGCTAGTCTGAGTGAACCTCGCATCGGCCAGCTTGAAAGTTTTCACGACAGTAATGGCTGTTGCTCGGTGCTCTGGAGTAAATATGCCTTCCTCACCTGTGCCTGCGGCGCCCTCTAATTGCCCACCCCGGGTCCGATGTCGTCAGATTCCGCGCTGGACCCTGAACCCGCTGACGCCGCTGCCGAACGCCGAGCCGGCGGAAAGCACAGACGACGCCGTCTTCGCCAAGCGACACCTCAAGCTGGAGGTCGACGAAAAGCGCCGCAAACGGTGGGTGGATCGTGTCGCAGCAAGACGATGCAGGGAGAGAATATGCACAATGCACGGTTCTGTTGTTTGTGTTATATGTAATGTTTGTTTGGAACAACGCTCAGTGCTGAAAGTGTGTAACTGTCTGCTATCGACATAAGGGGGAGCTGAGGTCAAAGCTGATGATTGGATGAAGTGTTTCGATTCGGGCTATCGTCCCGCTGGCTTTACGCTAGTGGTCCACGTGAATAGGTGTAGGAACCTGACGGTCTCTAACCCGAGCCCTGACCCACAGGTGGGACCTGCAGCGGCTCCGCGAACAGCGCGCCTACGAGAAGCTGAAGCAGTCGTACTCGCGGGGCCGCGGCGGTCGCTCCGCCAGCAGCGGCGGCGGCTCGGCAGACCCGTCCGAGTCGGAGCGGTCGCTGACGCTGCGCCCGCCAGCCAGCGGCGCGCTGTACCTGCAGGTGGCGCCTGAGCTGCCCGTCTGCGCGTTCGGCTCCAACCTGCCCGTGCTGGCGCATAGGTGAGAGGCAGGGCAGAGGAGCGAGGGCGCTGGAGGTTACCAGGGAATGGTGCTACCGAATGCCGAGCTGGCGTCTGTATGGTAGCAGATGAAATGCCATCTTACATGGAGGCGGTTTGACAGGCTTGTGGTTCTCAGTTCACTTAGTCGCTTGTTTTTATGCATCGTATTTACAAGGGAGGTGACTTAGATGCCTGAATAAGTAAGCTTGTTGTTTTTACCGTTGTCTAATTAAACGACTTTTTCTAAACGATACATATTCCTTTCTCGCCAGCCAGCGTCACCTTGTCATTTGTTATTTTCTAGTTGGCGTACTGATTTCACTTATGTTGCTGGACTTGTCTGCGTGACTGTGAAAGTGATGCCGAGTGGACTGATACCGACAGTGTCTGTGCGACTCCGTATGGGCCGTAGCCCGCTGTGATGAATGTCCCAGTCTGACCGCTCTCCGTGTGTCCCTGTTACAGAGAGTTCCAGCTGCCGTGGGCTCCGGGGAAGGCCCCGCCGCTGCCCGGCGCCCGCGGGGAGACGCGCAGCCGCCGCTAGGGGCCGCCGCCGCCGCCACCGTCTCCGATTTACCCTGTGATCTATAGCTGTGTGGGAACGGGGTCCATTCATTCAGTGTCCGGGAGGGAGGGGTAGATGTCCCCTTTTCGGAGAAGGGCTCTCTGCTTCTCCTGCGGAACTCTCGACTGTCTGGGGAGGGAGGGGCTAGTAGAGTGATAAACAGAGAGCGGGTTTTCCCGGGCGGGCGGGGTGATAGGCGAGCAGTCAGTTGTTACGACAGTAGTCAACCAGTGTTTTGTTGTGACAAATGTTTGTTCTTTGGCAATGCTATAAACCAGATCTGCTCGTTCTCGGTGTTGGCGGGAAGACGTCTCTGCGTGCCCCACTTGTGTTTGCTGTGTGGAGTTGTGTGCGCGGATCGGCGTGCTGGTGTGTGTATTTTCGGACGGCGGCGCCATATTGGAAGTGTCCCAACGGCGCCATGTTGGATGTCCCCGGCCGACTCGGGACTGTCGGTGTGTGTGTCTGTGTGCGACTGTATGTTCAAAGGGTGACCGGCTGGACCGCATCCCACGTGCCCTCTCCGCCTGCTCTGCTGTTCCACATTTTCCCAGGCAGCAGTGGTGGACGGAGCAGCCACGACGCTGTTTTCCCAATCGAGTGTAGCACTCTGCGTAGAAGCACGGCGTGAGCCATTAGTCCGGCCTGTGTTACGTGTTGTTGATCGCGCCGCCCGCGGTTTCTGAGGGCGGCACAGCGCGCGTCGGTAGTGAACCCCGTGTTAGCTCATGTCATCGGCCGCTATTGCTCCACTGAACTCATTCGTTGTGTCCGCGTGGCGCCGTCGGCCGGTCGCAGTGCTGTCCGTCTGCCGGCGGCGGCCGAACGTTGTTGCGAGTGCGATATCCTAGACCTGTCGGTCCCGTCTCCGGTCCCTGTAGGATCCGATGTGGATCCGGGCGCGGAGCGGTGGATCCGGTGTGGATCCGCAGCGCGGCGGTCTTCGCGTGCGGGTGACCGCCTCTTTATTCCGTTACGAAATACAGCCTGTTGACCGCGAGGCGCGTCTGTGCACGTCGGAGGACTGCGCGGCAGCTGAATGGGAGATGGCGCACTGACGTTCGTAATGAAGGGTAGCTACATTTGGCGATGAGAAGCGTATTTTATGTTGGCCAGGAGTTTAGGGCTGATAGAAGCTGAACTGACACTTGCATGCGATGATTCCCCGTGGTCAAATGTGTTCAGTCGTTCGTGGATTATTCATGGTTTTGATACGTAAGAAAATATTTCATTGGCTCTTTTCCAGACTGATGTTTTTGTGATTATTTCACTGGAACTTATTCGTGAGCGAACCCATACCAAGGCTTTAGGCCGCATTGGCTGAGGGAGTTGGTGGGAGTTAGCTAGGATAGTTCAGTTCATAACAAGATGCCTATAAGAGACCTATCATACGTTCCTACTTCATTAGTCGGATCGCTGGCTAGGTCATGAAAAGTCATAAACCCGGTTTACATAGGGTTTGTTGCAAGCTAATATCTCCGTCCGTGATGTTGCAAAAGATGCGAATGGTGCTGAACAATTTACAAAATGATCCCCTCTAAATATTTGAAGACCACTGCATCGAAATTATCGCCAAATTAACGAGCTAGAGCCTCGTCAAATATGCTATGTAAACCGGGTTACAGTCCCGTGGGCCATAACTTGAGATATCATATCATAGATAGGAACTGAGATGCTAAGCTCAGTCTGGTGTTTATTTCGTCGTTTAGAAATATTCAGACAATTTACATTTTTTAAAGAATAATCTAAAGGAACTGCATGCGGAGTGCGGACAGAAAATTGGCTGCTCTAAGGTGTTAGTAATGGAGTAAAAACGAATCGATTGAAACTAAATTCGGTTTAACAAATATCCAGACCAAAAAATCGACATAGTACAAACAAAGGAGAAATGCGAATAGAACTTATTTTTACAAGCTGATATGCACGGAATCTTAGCAACAATGGGTCAAAATTTGACAAGATACATCTCTATATAAGTAGGGACGAATGCGGCGCACGGCCATGCAGTTATTTGCCGCCATTAGCATCCTTTTTGGCGCCGAGCCGGTTGGACTTGTTCGCGGTCGTGAAACGTGGTTGGAAGTAACTTATTCATAGATATTTTGCATTTTCTTCAACTCTAAAAATGGCTGATGTAAGTACGCACTGCTTGCTTGCATATATTTCTGTTTTGCCAATTTTGCTCTGATCAGACATAAGGAAGGTGCATGGGCTGCACTTGTCGGGATAATCCTGATGGCATTCTAAAAGCTGTTCTTTTTCAGGAGTCTAAGCCGGCGGAGGGTGGAGATGCTGGGTCAGAATACATCAAGCTGAAGGTGGTAGGGCAGGTACGTTCATATTTACTCTTGGATTGACCAGTTTCTGTTGTATGGGAAGTGCGAAAGTGTTATTTGTGATGTCGCAAGGTGCGCCGTTTTCGTCATAAGTTTCCTGTATGCTGTTTCAGTAAATCATTTTAACTAATTGAGATTTGAGGCATAATAATTGGCTTATCTTCCATTGAGTGATAAATGTCATGCTCATAAATAGCATGCCAAATATATAGCCTATCTTGAGTTTCAGTCTTTCTGTATTCAGCTCGATCCTTGCCTCTTTCAAGTTTGAAGGTTATTTCAATTTTTGTGGATTGCTATGGCTGACCATCATTTCTCTCTCTCTCTCTCTCTCTCTCTCTCTCTCTCTCTCTCTCTCTCTCTCTCTCTCTCTCTCTCTCTCTCTCTCTCTCTCTCTCTCTCTCTCTCTCTCTCTCTCTCTCTCTCCCTCTCCCTCTCTCTCCCTCTCCCTCTCCCTCTCCCTCTCCCTCTCCCTCTCCCTCTCCCTCTCCCTCTCCCTCTCCCTCTCCCTCTCCCTCTCCCTCTCCCTCTCCCTCTCCCTCTCCCTCTCCCTCTCCCTCTCCCTCTCCCTCTCCCTCTCCCTCTCCCTCTCCCTCTCCCTCTCCCTCCCCATCCCCCTCATCCCCTCCCCCTCCCCCTCCCCATCCCCCTCCCTCCCTCCCCCCTTGGTAACCTGACCTGTGACCTGACCTGGTGCTATCAGTGATCTCTAATAGCAACATATGTACTAGGCAACTGACCCTATCGCTGATTTTCGAGAAAATGCGTTTTACTCGATGTTATAGTGCATTCCCTAGAGGACCCATGGCTGGCAAAAAATTTTCTTTGATGAGTTTGACCTGACTTGTGACATCATCGGTGACCCTGAGGTCAATGAAATTGGAGTTCCCTTGGCGAATTTGACAGGGCTTTCGAACGCCGTTTGAATTTTGCGGATCCGTCCAGTAGTTTCGGAGATGGGGGGGTCAAAAAATAGCCCCCCCCCCCCACCAGGTTGTGTTATAAACAAACCCCACCAGGGCGCGGGTTAACATTGGTTTTAAGTTAAGATAGCCAAAATGGGCTCCGTGGCTTGCACTTACAGGTTTGAGCACTCACAACATCGAGAAATGCCTCAAATCGAAAATATCTCATTTCAATTAAATGAAAAATATCCCATCCCATCGAAGTGAAGTTCTTCACCCACATTTTTGTTTTCAGGATTCAAATGAGATTCACTTCAGGGTGAAGATGACCACGCAGATGGGCAAGCTGAAGAAGTCCTACAGTGAACGAGTGGTACGTATCTGCGTGCGAACCATGCCAAGTCTAACGCTACCTCTCCATTGTTGTTTTAGCAGAAAGCTACTGATCCAACTTTGCTTCATTTATGCGTGCTCATTGTCTGCCGATATCGTTGCGACGTAAGCGATATAAGTGACATTCGATATGCGGTTGATTGATGGGATAGATAGCGACTGCTAAGGCATACATCGATTTCAATGCGTTCCTTTGTCTGATCAAAGCAATTTGGGCATTTTGGAAATGCTTATGTCAATACCGGTTTTTAATGTATTTGACGTCATGTCTATCGATTTTCGTTATTTCACTGCCGGCAGTATGGGACTTTGTCATGCAAACTATATTGTTTCGGCGCACTGGACTTGACTGTCGACTGCTTTTGTAATTACCTTCCTCCCCGTCGCCCGATGGGTATTTCTTATCCAACTTTTTCGTCGGCTGCTCCCCTTCACTTTTCCCATCCCATTGAACTATCCCTGTTGTTCCCCTCTAAATTCCCTTTTGCCGTCGGCAGGGCGTGCCCGTGACGTCACTGCGGTTTCTGTTCGACGGCCGTCGGATCAACGATGACGAAACACCCAAGGCGCTGGAAATGGAGAACGACGACGTGATCGAGGTGTACCAGGAGCAGACGGGAGGGCGCTGAGGGCGCCGAGGCCGCGCGCGCGCGCTCGCTCGCGCTGGCTCCATTCCGGCGGATGTCGCCGCCGCCCGCCATCGTCACGTCGTCACGTCATCTCATCATCACCTGCCCGCGGTCACGCCGGCCGCTGCCGTGAACCACTAGTTGTCGGTAACGCCGCCAGGTGGCTGCACGGTCTCCGCCGCTGCCGGTCAGGAGCCCCGGGGCGGACTCAACCGGCGCCGTCAGATAGTTTTAATGACAGCGAAGCACAGACAACTTCTCTCTGAGGCCGAGGCCCGCCCTGAATTCCAGCTCTGTGTTGGTGTTGTTTTAATGCCGTATCCATGGCGACCAGGGGCTCCTCGCCATGCACGTGGCGCATCATCTTGTAACCATGTACGTCTTTGGCTTGGGATTAGCTCACGTCCCTGAAAATAAAATTGTGCTATGATTCTTGCTGGGCGTTGTCGTGGGACGGTTGGATTTCCGGGAGGTTACCGGGATGAGATGCGTACTCAGGTAATCATTGCTACGGTCCTGATCCGAGTGCTTTATGGGGTTTGCGACGCCTGGGCAGCAAGGTTTAGCGATCTGGTTTCTCATGGCGCAAACGTTGTCCGGAGTGTTATAAACTGATACCGCGCTATCACTACACAATGGCGGTTGCGTCGACTGTCGAGCAACCACGATCATAAAGCATGCTTCATCTTTCATGATAAAAGTAAGGAACGGGGTCGCGGAAGGCTATTCCGATCGCTAAAAGAACGGTCACCTATTGTGGGGTGCTACTTGATTCCGGTAACGTGGAAAACCTGAAACTGGCCTCAGTGAGCAAAGGCCGAGTAGCTATTGGCTTTGGGACTACTATTGGGATTGGGAGTTATTGGGGAGTTCGGAGTAACACATTCACCGCAGACAGTATTCACTATTCAGTATTGTGCCCTATAATGAATCAGAATTCATCACACACGCCTATCAAAGGCCGTATCGGTGGTGCTGATAGACCTTTCGAATATCATTTTATTCACAAACTGATCGTTTTGATATGAAGTCTTGTACGTTCGGCGCAGGTTGAAGGGGTGAGAAATAATGGCAAGATTCCTTTAAAAGCAAGATCGTAAATCCAAGATTGCGTAAATCACTTCAAGCAAAAATTCGTGTGTAATTTGGTAGCAATATGGTAGCTCCCTGCCTTTTCGAACGTGACGCATGCGACGAATTAGTCTGCTGTCGGCTCGCGCATTTTTTATACATTCGTTGCGCTGCAAGCTGGTGGGGACTTGCCGCTCATTTACAAAAAATACTCAAGGTTTTGCAATACGCTCTTCAAGTAATCTGAAAATTCATTGAATAAGGCTTGATATCTGTGTGAAGCCACTCGTCACGGTCAGCACCGCATCTTGTGGAAACTCTTCGCACGTCGCAGGTTCCACTTTGACTTCCTGTGAATTCGCCGTCGAGCCGGACAAGCGCCACGCTGAAAAGGTAAGAATTTTTCGTACAAGATATGTCTAATTTGATCTTAAGGTGAATAATGACATAAAGGTTTACTTATTCCATTGGCTACTGAGTGCTAAGTTCGGACGCCGGTGAAAACAGGGCGCTGGAGGGCATATTAGTCACGTGACATTTGAAACTTCTCCCCCTTTGTCTGCCTTCTACAGGCTAAACGTCATGTGTAAATTTCACGAACCTTGATCAAATCGCCCCAGGCGCCCTGTTTTCACCGTCGTCCCCAAGGCCTCGTCTAACATGTTA